ATTCATTTTTGTACTAATGAATGCCCACATCTTCAAATTCCGATCTATGTTAACAGCTACTCTTTTTCTTCTGGGATGAAACCGTCTCTGATGGCTCCCGTTGTTGTCAGGGAATGTAATATGTAAAGCTGGCTGGAGGGGCAGGGGGATTTCTGGGAAGGCAGACCCATGACTCTTTCCTCCTGCTTTCTATTAAGTTACCATAAGTCAGAGATAATGGAAATGGATCCTGTGCAAAAGCACACACCCTCCCCTTATCCTCTAACAAGAAAACATGGGTCCTCTGTCTTTTCTGGGTCATCAGTGACACTTTCAGGCCCTTGGGTATTGAATCTCTAAATTCCCGATTCTTTAGACCTCTGACTTTTGCTCCTTTTGTGTCTGCAGCCAGTTAACGGGAGGTCCTGGCAATTCTCCATCTGCACAGTGAGCTACCCCCTGTTCTGCCTTGGTGATGGGTTCAGACCCCATCACCTCTTCTAGGAGACTCTTCTGGCCCCTTGCCTTCCCTTTTCCACAATACTTTGTTGATATTCACTTTACCGCTGAACTTGCCACTTGTGTTATCATGATTGACAGTAGCATCCTCTAGGACTGTGGTTCTTGAAATTGACAACATGTCAGAATCATTTAGTCCTTAATTAAAAACCAAGTAAATCAATCCCTGGGGAGGTGAGACCCAGGCACAGCATCTTTAAAAGCAGCATCTCTTAAACTTTCATCTGCAGACTGTTCACTGGGGATCTGGTTAAAATGCAGATTCTGGCTCAATGAGAACTGGGCAGGGCCTGGGAATTTGCCTTTCTAGCAAGCTCTTACCGATGCCACTTTGGCTGAAGCACGTCAAAATTGCTCCCAGTTGAACTGTATATCCTTACCTGTACCCTAATATGCGTTTCTGTCTTAAGCTCACAGATTGTTACCTGACCCAGGACTGCTCCCCTCATCCTGTTGGCTCTAACTGCAACCACCATTTTAGGTTTTGCATAAATCAGAAAATGGTTCATCAACGTGTGGGCTATGACCTTGTTCACCACTAGTCTCCAAACTGCACTCCAGCTCTGCCCTGTTCCTGTATCCATGCTGACCTCACTGGCAACAGATCAGAGTGGAAGGCTGGAGAGCGGTAGAACTGGAAAAGGAAGGCCCCACCAGCTCCTTAATGGCCCTGTGGTTGGTTCACTTCATTACTGCACCAGCCCTGGGCCCATCCCTCTCTGGCTCTTGTGACCCCGTGTGACTCCACCCCTTCATGCTCCACTTTCATCCTCACATTTTCCTTCCTTCACCACTGTTCCTTTGACTTGCTTTGAACAAATATCGCTACAAATGTTTAAAAAAATGTTTATAAGATAAAATATTTGTCCGACTTCAATTACTATTTCCCTCAGTTAATGCTTCACCCTTCCATGCACTGATCAGGTCTATCTCTACGGCTTTAGGCAAAACTATGCTAGGCTCCGAGTAATCACCATTGAGCAGGGCTGACGGCACTGTTAAAGGTTCTTTTACTTGAGTTTGTCTGGGTCTTCTGCAAGTTGACATCATTGCTGTAGGTTCAAATGAGCAGGGTCCCAGGAGCTTGTAGGACTCTATTTCCATATGTATGAATTCCTCATCTTAGCTGAAGAAATATTGGCAACTGATTACTGCTGGGTGACGAAGAGCTGATCTTCCTAAAGTGAGGGACTCTAGATAGGCTGACTAGACCTCAGTAGATGAACTTGCACCGAGGAACATCTGGGGACACTAACTTGACAAAATAAGCCTTAACACAAATGACAGAATGTATGAATTCCAGGGAGGGGGCTATGGGAGGGTGCTAGTGGGGACGGGGTATAAAGATGATTAAAATAGATCGAGATGTTCTGCATGAAATACACAAAAATTCAATGAAGAAAAAGGTTCTTTTAGCCTTCGACGCACCTTCACCACCAACCGAACTGCAATCTGTGGCTCCCGGAGCGTGCCCTGAGGCAGACTGAGTGCAGAAAGAAAGTCCCCAGGAAAGAATGCAAAACTTCCTGGACATACAACATGTGACCTCTGCCCGGTCCATCACTACTTCAAGGTAGTTCTCAGATTCTGCAGTAGGTGGCGCTGTATTCCTGTCCAGAATGCCATATTCCTAATACTTAGTTTCCCCTCCAGAGGCTGCAGAGCAAGGATAGTGCTAAAGTCAGGGTAGAAAGGGGAGCTAGGGGGCAGCCTCTGATCTGTTTAGGAAGTTATTCGATGTCCAGTAGACATACACTACCATTTGTAAGTGACAGAATGAAACGAAAATATTCTTCTTTTTCCTTATAAATCTAAGTATATTATTTTTTCAAAATGTTACTTAGTTGTTAGAACAGAAATACTAAGTTGTTTAAACCTAAATACTTAATTCACAAAACCATTACACATTTATTTCACCCAAGGCCTCCCTGAGAAAGAGCAGTGTGAACTCAGACAGCTCTGGAACTCCATCTAATCTTTTCAAAGTTTCCAGACAAGGTTAGTCCTGAACAGTCTCATCAGATGTCTTTTCTTCCAAGTTTGTTAAAGTTAGAAGTGACCACCCTGTGACCACAGATGGGGCTAATCCCTTCTCTTCCCTTCTTTGAATTTTTCTTTCTTCTGGTGATTTCTTTTGGGGGAAAAGGGAGCTGAACCCAGCCTTGACATGCTAGGCAAGCGTTTCAACACTGACTTATGTTCCCAGCCCTTCCTTTTTTTTTTTCCTAAAATTCATTTCCGTTTTCTTCTTTTACTTGGAGTAAAACTCCATTTGTCTGTTGGAATCACAGTACTGCGAAGATAAACCTGGGAACCCTCCATCTCAACGGTGATGCTGTCAAATATGCCAACTCCAGTTCTTACTTTTGATATTTTTTCTCTCTGTGTAATATTTTCTTGGGTATTATAACTTCAAGGGGGGGGATGGGCAGCAGGGAAGGCAGAGGAAAGGGAAGAAAAGGCATTTATCTAGCGACCAAGAGAGTATCCAGCTCCGGCAAGCATAGTCCAAGCTGTGGCTAGGAAGGGCTTTTGCCATTAATTTCCACATTGTCCACCCAGTGAGATTTGTCAATACCTCATTTTACTTTTGCAGGGATATGAGAGTCAGTATTCTACTTCACACAGACTTAGTAGAGCATGTGCAATGAATTTGTCACAATGCTAGTAACTTCATGCACCCACTATGTGCCAGCCACTGGTGTCTGCCTCGCTGGCCTGCCCTGCAACTCTATAGGTAGGCACTGCTGTGTGCACTTTCCCAGTGAAGACACGGAAGGTTCAAGACACATCCAGGGTCAAATCACTGGCCACTGGCAGTGCAGCAACACATTTTGTATCTGCCTGAGTTCACAGCTTGCAACTTCCCCCAGGGTATTTTACCTCTCACAATTATAACTGCAAAACTGATTCTTACACATTTTTACCATTGCTGCTACTTGTGTCCCAAAATATCCGGGACTTCATCTAGGAATTGGTGGTATTAGTGATGTAAAACAGTATCACGTTTGGGATGGGGCAGAGATTTCAATCATTCAGAGAGAGTACTTTTAAAAGCTTAATCTTCTATGGCAATAATGCTATTTATGTAAGAATTACATTAAAGACTAAAAGAATAACCATTACTTTATCAACACAGTATCATTTGAGTTTCACAAAGGAAATGAAATATAAACATAGGGACCATCTTCCTCGGTGGTCCCACTGGGTGTGAGTTCCATAGCAAACTGGTGGCTCGATTGATCCTTGGGGCATCACAGTGCTGATGTTCACCCCATCTCTTGTATATTTCCTCTCTTACTTTATGCCACATTAATAATTCACTTCACTGGAACATTGCCTGGCTACCTCAACCTAAGCCTCCTTCATTTATAGTGGTAAATACTTAAAGAGAATATTTGCACACAGTTATTCAGGGATATTTGATCACAGATTGAAATGTGAACATGCAGCCTTAGGAATCTGCAAAATTTATGCTATTTGCATGCTATCCTGATCAGGTATTTTAAAATCAATCATAAGCAAAGACATTTTATCATCTATATTTTTATGTTCATCTTCAGTTTGTTGAAGGTATATGTAACAATTATTTTTCTTATTAATACCATCCAATGAAACACAAAATCTAAAAATTATAAACTGGTACCCTTGGCTTGTCTTTTACATCTTTGCTGAGTGCAGATATTCTGCAACAAGAAGGTAGCGGATGACACAATTCAGTGACACTCACTGTGTCAGTTGAAGCATGCCGCCTTTCCCACAGAGCTCCAGGGATCTGCAAGGACTATAATAAGCCATGCTTCCTCACTCTACTTCCTAGTCAATAAAATGGCCTGATGCTATCTAGAAATAGCATCTTTACGTAACACGAATTTTTCATCAACCTTTCTAAATTAAGTCCTAAGAATTTAAAACGGCTGGTTCTTGCCAATTATCCCAGATAAGACTAACCACTACCAGCTGCTACAGCAGTCACTATGAGACCTAACCTCTGAGATTGGGCTTTGCCGAGAAAAGGTGTCATTTGTTCTGAGAATGGAAGGTACCGTAGCTACCAGAGTTAAGAAATAGTTAATGTGAACTTGGCCCAAGTACTCAAGCTCAGAATGTTTGCTTTCAAAATGAGAAAAAGGAGCTTCCTCTCCTTACAGCATAATCGCTCTATTTCTATTTTTAATACACCCTACTTTACAGAATAGCTGGACCCCATTTTTCAAGCTAAAGTAAAAATTAAAGGATTTATGATAATCCTGTGCGGACGGCTGTGGGCGGTTCATTTTCCACCAGAGCATTTTCTCTCTCTTTGTTGCACTGCTAACATCTCTCAGCGTCTTGCTACTTTTCTTTCCGAAACTACCCAAGTGAGGAAAAAAACGTCTTAGCAGATAAGCAACAAATCATACTCTATTGGGGAATAGTTCATACCCTCCCAGTCTATTTATCAGAAGTAACTTCTTCCATCTTTTAAACCTAGAATGTCAAAGCACCCAAAGGAATCCTACCTTGCCCACATACTGATAATCAGATCCGGTGTATTCCTCCAGGAGAAAGAACTGATTCCACATCCAGCTCCTTTTCGAACGGGTCAGCTCATTTTTGCTGTTTCCAAGGAGCTCCAGAGCCCTCTTCTTTGCCGGAAAACCACTAGTCCTCTTAGATAACGGGCTTGAGAAAGTTGGGTAGGGCTGACCGACCCAAAAGAGCAGCAAGAAGTAGCGGTAAGTTCTCATGCTGATGGCCCTGCAGTCAGTCTCTGGGTAGTGCGCTCCCCTCTCCTGGAAGTGCTTCTTCAGTGCACCGTATCCAGCCTCATTCCTCCTTTCTTCCTTAATGTTCTTTGCTTGGCTTTCAGAGGATATCTGGAAAGAATAATAACATATCAAGCATTTATAGAGATGCTTAAAATTCAGTGTTAGAGCAAATAGGCTGGAAAAAGAGGACAGAAATTTGAATAGCAAAACAACAAAAAAAGTTGGCTATCAATTTCAAAATGAGGAAAGCAGTCTTTTAGACTTGCAGAATGGAAGGCACGTGCCCAGCAGGGAGCTGCTGTTTGCCTTATCCTTTTCTTTCATTTAAAAATCCCATTTTAAGTAATAGCATTGTTAGAGGTCAACATGTCAGGATGGATTATTTCACTACTCCTTTACTTTGGACTATGGGCTGAGATCTGGTTAGAAGAAACGAGTTTGTGTTTCTGAGTTCATTTGCATATTTATCTTCATGAAAAAATCTAAGGTAAAGAATATCATAGACAATTTAAATTCAATTGAAAGTGGATAATGTTGAAATTTCAGTAAAATGTACACATGAGGCAAGGAGAGCTTATTCTGCAGACTTTTGGCTGAGGAGATGTGCTATGATAGAAAAGACCACACATCTTCTCTTCAGAATGCAGAGATGCAGAGTGAAGTTTCTGAAGGGGTATTTTTGCAATGATAGTAGTAAGGCTGCATTTAATCCAGCACTCTGCAAACTTGATCACACATTTTTTTCCCCCATGAGACCTACTTAGACTATGAGATTGGACAATGAAAAATGGATAGAATTTATATTTAAGAACCTTGGCACATTATATTGGTAAACTGTCATGTTCTGTTTGACCACACTGAGAAGCTGGTTGTAGCTGTTCCTGCACCCCACCTCCCACACCCATTTCAGACCCAAGACTATTTGTCTCAAAATGTCCTCTGAGGCCCCTTTTCTGGAGATAGACTGCCTTCCTAACTCTGTGACAGGGAGGAAAGAGAACAGAAAAGCATCCAAGAGTGAAAACATTGTGCCCTGGAGAAGAGCTGGAACTTAAAACCATTTCCAACAGATGTTCCATAATATAAAGGGAAAGGGGAAGTTGGAAGTTGGAATTGAGCCATGGAGAGAAAGCTCAATTGGGAACTCCAGCTGACTGCCTCAGTTTCCCCAGTCAATTTCTGCTGGATTTTGTAAGCCTCCAATGTGACGGTGTTGTATTTGTTGCTATTCCAGTCGTCTGCTGGATGTTGTGAACACCTGATTTGGTGACATTTTGCTGTCTACCTGCTGCTTCTATCCATTTGGTACTTGCTATTTATTGTTTTAATTTTGTTTGCTGTGTACTTAATAAACTCACTTGTTTGAAACCCAAAGCACAACTATACTTGATCGTGATCATGCCTCAGACTGCACAGAACAAACCTATAAGAATTAAATGAGCAATATTTCAATTTCTTTAGGAAATCCTAGGATTTTATCTAAGTTTTACTTGTACCATAAGCAATCAAATTGGCCAGTTTCTGGCTTTCACAAATGCATTAAGTATACCCCATTATCACAGTGAGGACCACTGCCTGTGTGGTCTTCAGAAAAAGTCAGCTATTATCATGTGGGCGATAATTTTCCATGACAAATATTAATTTTCCAGAACACAACCTGCTATTTAAAAAAAATCCTGGAGCCAGACTCCTTGGCAAAGATGCCCAATGGTGCATGCAATTAAAGTCAGGTGTGTGCTGATCTCCTTCCTGCCTCAGCCTCCCCAGAGTGCCGGGATGATAGGCCTGCACCACCACACTTGGCCTACAGTTCTTGAAAAAAAAAAAAAACACCCAACAAATTGCACATGTATCTTACTATTTGAATGTTTTCCTGAATAATGCAGTAAGAACTCCAAGGAATGTTTTGTAATTTAGAAGGCGATGATAGTGGCACTGATGCAGGTAAACAAGCTTCGGTAACTTCTTTCTCTCATGTCAGAAAAGACTGGCTGATTTGATCCCTATTTTTCTATCACACAAGTTGATATTTGACCAGAATTTTTGTTTTTGTGTGTTTTACGCCAGCAATGAGTAATTACAGATGTCTCACATGTGGCTCCCTGAAAGCTTTCTGTGGGAAGGGAGGTGAAATATTTCATCCCATTCAACATTTTAAAACCTTTATTCCATTGTGATGCATCTTTTTGACAGTAGGCTGGGGAAGTTGAACATTCCACAGGTGAGTAAATTAGTACTGTGACAATTAGTCATATTGGAAAAATGCCGGGCAATGGTGCACTTGTCCCCATGTGGCCTTGGTGCAGTTGTGGGATGACTGACGATCAGTTAGGTAAGGATGATTCTTCCCTCTCTTCATGGATGGAGCAGAGAGGGGACTGAGAGGGCATGTGGAGAAAAGCCCTCAAAAGACATTTATTCATTTTTAGAAACAGATTACACTAAGGTTGATTCGGTGAAAATTACATTTTTCTTAATTTCCCACATTCTCCATTATTTGCAAAGACAAATCCTGCAGTGAAGAATTACACGCCTGGTGCTATGCTCTGTGTGTGCCCCATGGTGCTGGCAGGAAAGAGGGATGTGGAGAATGGAGGTGTCAGCTGCTTAAAAGGCTGACTCCTAAAGGCCATTTTAAAGAAAAATCGATCCCTGTGGGCGTTGTATGCAAACTCTACAAGCTGTTGCCACTTGAATATTAAATATTAGTTCTTTTTTTAATACCACAGACACCAAAATGTCAAGTATTTCATTTTTTTCTTAGTTGGTAATGAGCTTTTAAAGTGATGCAAATTTAAGCAGTGTTTCCAAGTACATTGTAACATTAGTTTTGCTATAATCCAGTTCCTGTATCAATTTGACAGGGTGAAGCCTTGTTAAAAACTCTATATGCAAAACAGAATGACTATGATCTGCTCTTATCTGACGTTAGTTTTTTTAGAAGGATATATTTCTCTGTAATTTAATCCATGAATTTGGAGAAGTCGCCTAATCCCATTTTACCTCATTTTCTTCTTTTGTAGCTGGGGGGTTAGTACAGTGTCTACTTCATAGGGGGTCAGTATGTACGTGCAAAGAACCTAGGACAGTGACTGCCACTTCAAAAGACAGTGCTAAATATTAGCCATTATTATTCTTGTAATTAGTATCTATATTACATTTATAGATCCAAATACAACACAAGGTAAAAGTCTGCAGAACGGGGTCAGGTCCCCTCTTAGGATTATATGCTTTTGCATTGTTTGGAAAGCATCTCTAAGCAAGACAGAATTCTTTCAAAATTCAAGAACTGAAACACTTTAAAATCAGGATGAATTCGTTCGGTAATTGTTTTCCTTTGTGTGGAGTTCAGTTCTGCTCTAACAGAGTCTGGAAACCAAAAGCAGAGCTCCCCTGTCCTGTGGCCACAGCTCTCACCAAAGAGGAGAACATGGACAAGAAGCGAAGTTCACTGGAAGAGCAACACATTCATAGTCTGTGTTTTCTTTCTTCTCCATCTTATTATGTTAAGATAAAAAAATCATCTTCACTTTATTCAGGTGAAAAATATAAGAGCGAGCTTCAGTTTAGTAATCTTGACTTTGTACAAATGGCCCTGGTAACTAACATGCTGATGTGATCCTCATGTTATGTTAGATAAGAACTTGATGTAACTAAAGCCAACGATAATCACATTTTAGGTTTTACTTAATCCAAAAATATGTAGTGGGAAAAAAAATCGACATACTCCAAACATGGTCTTCAATGCAAAACAACAGTAGCAACAACCACCACAACCACCTGGGATTCAAGGTGTTGAAAGGTTGAGAAGAGGAAAAGGCGTGCCCAGGAACAGCACAGCTTTGAGGAGCATGGGAAGCTGGCTGTTCCTGAGCAGTCAAGATAACAAGAGAGCACATGGCAGGTGCTAATCAGATGTGGAGGTTCAGTCTGTAGATGTCCCCAAGCCAGCTGGAAGGACAAAGAACCAAGGGTATGCACAGGACCTGAATTTTAAAATTTCAGGCAAGATGATTCAATCAGGAAAGAGCCAGAAGAGAGATGGTGGGAAGGGGAACAGAACAAAGCAGAGGCTGTACCGCTTGCTGCCCTTGTCCCTCTGTTCATCCCTTTTGGCATTAAGAGCAAATCACTTAGAAACATAAACTCTATAAAAATTCAAATTGAACTGTCCAATTACAAGCTCGTGATACTTTAGCAAGACTATGACTACACTGATTTTCTTTTAGGAAACAACCTTCTGTTTCTTAAAGGTAACTGCTGTATGCTCTGAAATGTAGCATGCAAAAGTGGTTAATCCAAATAGTTTGAATCTGTGCATAAACATTATTTTAATGACATACAGACAGCAAGTAATAAAGATGCTTGTCCAGCAAGGTAAAGCCCCCTGACAACATTGGTAACTGTACACTTTGAAAATGTATTTGTGTGAAAGACAATATGTACATATACTTTAATCTTCACAAGAACACTTAGTCAAGCCCAGGTTTAGAAGGCTGGGCTTCATTAATTTAGGTTCTACTAATTTAGTACATGTAACAATCCAGAAGCTGGGCTGGTGTTTTCTGTTGATTAGCAAAGCCCTTTTCCCTAGATTATCAGCCATTAATAAGGTAGAAATGTTTCATAGGATAAATAGGGTGAGAAGGAAAACTATAAGCTCTTCAAGTTCCCAGGGGTACTTGGGAATCACCTTTCATTCACAAATCATTAATATGCTAATTAGAAAATTTATCCATTGATTGAATTGCTTCTCCAGTGACTTATGTTTGAGAACAGTTGAACAACGAAACTATATTATCTGGTTTTGATGCTGAGTCCATTACACTATTTACAGACAAATGAATAATATTAGACATATTGAAAGCAATATAATTATTTTAGTGTTTTAGAATTCAGACTTGGAGTACATGTGTTCTAGTAGTCTTGATTAATTCTAATTAAGGCAATGTTACCACAATGACATCTAGTTTACAAATTAAACTGGATGTATGTAGAGTCTTCACTTTGGCATTGAAAGGATAGTAAACATTCAATAAATAAATATTATTAACATTCTTTAACCACTGACCATAATAAAATAATTAAAAAATATATTAGGAAAGTGT